GGCCACCCCCGAACGCGCGCTCGCGCGCGCGCGCAGGAGGCCACGCAGACGGGGGGAGAGGAGGGAGGAGGGAACTGGGCACGCGCAGGAGCGCGCAGGAAGGAGGAGGGAGGAGGAGGGGGAGGAGGAGGAGGAGGAGGAGGAGGAGGAGGAGGAGGAGGAGGAGGAGGAGGAGGAGGAGGCGGAGGAGGAGGAGGGAGGAAGGGGGAAGGAGGAAGAAGGAGGGAGGCCACATGCGTCGAACAACGTAAACCGGTTGCCAGATATCTTCGATGCGTGCCACCCCAGAGGGCCCCAGATGGCCTCCAGAAGGCCGCCCTGAAGGGTACCCCAGCAGGCACAAAGAATCCAGGGCGGCCATAAGACGGGCTTGTACCGCTCCCAAGGCTGCCCTAAGATGGCCCAATAATGCCTCGAGACGGTTCCACGTTGCCACCTGACCTCTCCAAGACCAGCCCGCGATAGCCCCAGGAGCCTCCAATGAAATTTCCAGATGGTCGAAAAAACCCTCCGACAGGCCCCAGAGCCCCCCCCCCAAGCCCTCCGACAACCCCGAGACACCCAACAAGCCCAAACCACATCCCCAAGAGGCCCAAGACTACCACAAGCACATGAGCACGCAACAACACCCCCCTTCCGCAAATCAGACATTCAACGTAGGCTCACCCACGCAGCGCGGTCCGTTCGGATCTCCGTTGCTGATGCGGCCGACTGTGCCGCGACCCGTCTTCATGTTCGCCTTTACAGGCGGCAACCTAAGGAGACTCTCCCCTACTGCCTAGGGTCCTCCTCCTCCTTCACCTCTCATATCCTCTCCTCATCCTTCCCCTTCGTGTGCGCAGAGTATCGCCGTCTCTGGCGCCCAGAAATCTGACAAGTCACGCATGCACTTAGAGCTTGCACACGCCGCTGAAATGCGTGTGGACATGTGCAAACGCATGCTCATGCACTGGTGCCGCCACATCGCGCCACAGAGCTGCAGCGCGACGGCAAGAACCGCACGTTCATGGGTATACGCGGACACGCAACTGGATGGCAAGTAATACGCTGCCATCTGGATTGTCACCTCCACCCTGCAACAATAAACAATCGCTGCTCCCCGTATCTGCCTCAGGAGGGGCGAGCACGCCAACTTCTCCTTGGCGCAAAACCTCGCTGGAGCAAATAACAGCCACTCGTTGATGTTGACCTGTCCCTCACATTGGCCACGATCTTCTCACTACGATGCCTACGCCTGCACAGTACCATACTTACTCATAGCACGCACCATTGCGATCCACAGCTGCCCAAGCTGCTGCCTCTCTGCGTATCCATTCCATCCCGCATGTACAAGTGCATGTGCAAGGACAAAGGCACGTATACGGTGGCATGCCTGAGGTAGACTGGAAACTATACAAATACGTGTATGACATCACATCTGTTTCCCCAGCATGCGTGCAATTATGTGCATCGGAACATACATGCGAATCGGGGACGAGAGCGCGGAGATACTGCGCTCCCGTCATCACACGCAGTGTCTGCGCCAGCATGCGGTTGCACACGCGTAATCTCTGGTGCTGTGTCTCTCGCTCTCTTTCTGTCACTCCAGGCAACTTAAGCGCAAACAAATCAAACACATAAAACACGGCGTAGGGGAATCCGATGCGTAAAGCGCATGCGCATCACGCCATCCCTCCCCCTGCTGCACAGCTCGCGCATGCATGTTACGAAACCGTAGCCACACCCTCGCCCAAAGTGCTAATACGACTCCCGCGAGCAACAGTGCAACCAGGCAACGACACTCGAGCGTCTTCGAGAAGATCTGCAACAAGAAGACCATTTCAACTGTGGCGTGTTGCAACACTGTCAACTGTGGCAATGGCCCTGCGTGCACACGTTCAGTGTGCATTTCATGTCCCAAAGCTAGAAGGAGCAGACTCGTGCCGGCGCCGGCCCTGCACGTGACCCCAGCATCCTCCGATGCTGCACGAGCCGAGTGGGGAGAGGACCTCCCGGCTGCCTCCTTGGCACGGCAAGCTCGCATCGTGACGACCGCGCGTTGGCTTCTGACACCGCGTGGATCTCTCGACCTTGAACCATCGCGGGTTCCGAGGAGGAGGAGGATGAGGAGGAGGAGGAGGGGGAGGAGGAGGAGAAGGAGGAGGAGGAGGAGGGGAAGGAGGAGGAGGAGGAGGAAGATTGGACAGATCGTTCGATATCGGTCGATTCTGGGCCGTTGGCGGCGTTCACCTCTGCACGCCCGCTCTGCGGTCGCCGCTGCGTCGACACGCCAAGAACCTAATTACCATACCTGCCCCGTGCTGCTCGCGAGGCGCGACCGTTCCCCCAGCCTGCCTGGAACGACGTCGACCACGGCGTGGGTCAGCGCACGGCACCCGCGGCAGCGGTAATGCTGTGCTCCACTCCCACGCTCTCTGGGCACTGGCTCCGCATGGAACTTGAGCCCGTTCGTGAGACTGCCGAGCGTCCTTCCAGCGCTGAACTCGTTGACGGAGAAGCCCTGAAGGAGGAGTAGGAGGGCGACGACGACGGCACGAACGATCGGAGAGGACTGAAACGCCCTCGGCCTGAGATGGAGCACGACAACACTGCCACGCGAGAGGGGAAGGTCATCAAGGCTGCAGGAGGGAGCAAATGATCATGCACACACGAACCATTGATAAGCCTGTGGCTGCAAAGATGCCAGCTTTTTAAGCATGTCGCGCGTCACTCTCAAAGCTTGGGCCATACGAGCGGCAAGGTTGCGACCACTGTTAGAAGACGGACATCGGCTCGGCCGCTCAAACTGGTAATTACTTTCACGCGGAAGGAATGTAAACGAAACGGCCCTCGCAAGCTGAGGAGTAGAAGACGGAGGAACAAACCGAAGCAATCGGCTCTCTTACCCCAAGTGCTCACCGCCGTGCGCCAGGAATTACCTCACATTGGCACGGCTAACACACTAGAGGGGGGCGACACGACTCCTCCAGGCCTCACGCGTGACGAAAACTGGCGGCGCACCCTCAGTCAAGCGTGCTTTTCATTCGGAAGATTGCCGAGTTGAGACGACAATGGCCCTCTTGAGGAAGAGAAGAGGCGGTGGGTCCCCAACACGGGCAACACGCAACGGAACTCATCACATCTGTAATCCACCATTTCTGTTCCTCCAACTACCCCTCCTCCTCCTCCTCCTCGTCATAGCATGTCTTCTCCTCTGCCATAGCCTCTGCTTCACTCGCTTCAACTGTTCCTCTTCTCTGCCTCCTCCTCCTCCTCCTCCTCCTGCAGGTCTCCGGAAAGAAAACTGTGCAGGAAAACAGATGGATTACATTTGTTGCACACACGGGCTCAGCGCACGCTCCACTTGATCACTTGAGCCAACATGGCGTCGGTATCGACACCCGCCTGACGAACTCACTAGCTCACCCTGCTCACCCACTCGGAACGGTATATGTTAACACCCCCCGTCGGCTGGTGAGCCGGATGTAGAAGCGGGAGATGTTGACTGCACAGTGAGTGGGTAACTGGCAAACAGTAAACTTGCGGGCGCCGCATCAGTGCCAGGACTCCACCCTTGCGGATCAAGATCATAATATTTGAACACAAACGGTGCAGGTCGCAGACGACCATGGTATGGGCGTCAATGTGGAGGAGCTTCCCAACAAGCGATACCATAATTTCTATAAGTCGCAAAGCACTGGGTTTTGTTCAAGAATTGGTGTGTTCAATACCGGAAGTACGTAATAGGAAAATAGAAAATGGATCGGCTAACGCTGATACTTGTGGGGTGCCGACCTTGGCGGAGAAAACGCACGTCCTCCCCGCATCCTCCTTGCGCTTTAAGGCGCTATCGGACCTAAAGACAGGCACGCGACGAACAGCGTGAACAGGATCGCACATGGTCGTGGATTCGGGAGGGGATAGGGACTTGGTGTAAAGGGGTGCGGTGCCAGCGCTGGAAATGACGACGTTACTGAAAACATCTGCAAATGCCTCGCCTGCGGATATCAACCACGTTGGCCTTGCGACGACAGCATCGAACAACGTCAGGCCTGATTCCACACCTCCCGAAGGGCCGCAATCAAATGTGAAAAACGACGCAAATGCCAGTCCCAGATTGTCCCATCGCCGAGCCCGCGCCCCCCATATATCGAATCGCAAGAAAAATGGTTCCGAACATACAGAATCGCGAACAAACAGATCCAAGAAATTCCTAATCACCAATACCACGATTCCCAGACATTGCGACAAATTAACTAACTATTGTTTCGCGTACAAACTAACCATCCAAAAATTGATAAACGACATTTCGGCGATTCCGACATCGCAAAATGACTTCCGTAAATTCCGAAATCGCAGAAACGAATATCATAATATTCCGACATTGCACGACTCGCGCGCCGGCGATCGGACGCCCTGCCACCGGCATTGCGCAGCCGTTGGGATTGGACGGGCTTCGCTCGGGAGGCCGAACCTGAAAGTCCGACGTCGTTCGACGCGGGCGTCGCGCAACCAGCGCGGCGGGCATCGGCATGCAAGGCACTTGCGGACATCTTCGAGAACATCGCAATTTCCCGCGCCGGCACGGCCCCCCTTTACGCCGCGCCCCCCCCCCGGAGCTTCGCCAGCCCAGCATCTGCAGCAGTCTTCGCGCCTCCGTTCAACGCTCTTCTCCACCGCGTCGTCGCGGAGGAGGGAGGAGGAGGGAGGAGGAGGGAGGAGGAGGGAGGAGGAGGGAGGAGGAGGGAGGAGGAGGAGGGAGGAGGGAGGAGGAGGGAGGAGGAGGGAGGAGGCGGAGGAGGACGAGGAGGAGGGGGAGCTCATGGCCGGGAAAATGCGGGGGCGGGCGTCGACACTGTAGTGCGACCTGGGTACCACAAGCTGAACTACGGCGCGGCACCAGCAGGCGCCGGGAACCTCGCGCGGGCGGATTAAGTGGCCCCCACAACTGCTGCCGCACGTCGTACTGCTCACGAGAGATACCCGGCACGTCCGCCAGTTGATGAAGAACTCGGCTAATTCCTCTGCCTCGAACCGCACGGCAGCCGCGCGTGCGCTGATCTCGCCACGATTGCTGCGCGACTCGTCGAACAGCACTTCTTCGACGCTGGCCACCATGGGGGTTCCTGCCCACGACACGCCGAGAATCGCGCCGAAAAATGGAGCTCGAAAGCCGCTCGGCTGAAGACCTGACCCTCGGGCACGCGTCGGCGCCGGTCGGCTAGGCAACCGCGATCGATTTCTGCAGAGGCGGGATCGGCATGGCTCAGCCTCCGAAGGGCACGGCAGTCCTGAAGCAGCTTGGACTGTGCGCGGCAAACCTGCATCGCCAACGATTGGCGGGACGCGAGCCGGTGGCCAGATTACTGGGCCTGCCAAACAGGGGCGGCCCATGCATGTTGGGCAGCGGCAACAGCTGGCATGAACCACCGCGACGGAATGCGCAACTGCTATTGAACGTTAAGCAGTCCTCCTGCGAGATAATGGCCCCCGCGAGGCCCTGGAGCTCGCGCGGCTGATTGTCGACCCGCCAATAACCGACGCAGCTGCGCAAACAGTCGCGCGCCCCGTCGCCTAATCCATCAATAGTTCTCTGGAGTCTGAACGAAATTAAGATTGCATGGCTCGTCGTCGTCTCCTTCAACGCTGCTGTCCTCGGACGTCGCCGCCTCGTCCGAGGTCGGAAATTGCGCTGGCGGCCAGGCAGCCCCACGCGGCGGGGGCGGCAGCGCGCCGCTGCTCGCGCCGCCGCCGCCGCGAGGGGCCGCCGCCGCGAGGGGGGTCGGGCCCTACAACGTTCCGAAATTTTGTTAGCTGACTTCTCCCGCTGGACTGGCTCGCCACGCTGCTCCTCGGTCTTAACGAGATGTGGCATTGCCGTCACCGCTGACGGCTGCTGGGGCGGCCCCTCGGGAGGCGGCGCCGCCTTGGGCGCCGCGGGCAACGTCTCGCCACAGCCTCTGCGCAATGGGGCCGTCTTGGGTAGCGCCCGAAGGGTGGGCGGAGATGACGCTCGCACTCCGACCCTCGGCTCCGCGATCGCGGCGCCATCTAACGCGCCGCGGTTAACCGAGCGCGCGCGGCTCGCAACTGCATCAAACGCCGAGGCGACCGTGGCCTCTGCAACGCGGTGAGCCTGTCCAGGCGACTCTTGCACTGCGGCTCCAACAAAGCGCGTTAACTCCACGAGCGCCGCCGCGTCGCCCGCGACCATGCGCCGTTGACCCCCCCGGGGCCTCATCGCCCAGGTCGCGGCCGCGATGTGACGAGTCGACGTTAGCGACCAATGTTTCAACCTGGTGATCGAAGTCAGCCGCCTCGTGAAACGCCTCAGCTCTATCGACCGTTAACTCGACGGTGGCCAGGTGGAGCGCCCTCTGCGAGCTTCTTCGTCCTCGCGGAATCGGGCGACAAGCGCCCCGATGCCGCCGCGCATCTGAGCGACCGACTTTGCCGAGGCAAGCGCTGCGGCCTAGCCCCCAAGCGGGCCGAGGACCCGGCCTAACGCAACGCCTTCATGCCGCGGGCTTGTTCTCGATCAGCAAGGCAACTACTGGGTCGCCAGGACCACCGCTGCCCAGTCTATCTCCGGCGCCACTCGCAACGGCACAGTCCTTCGCAACAGCTGCAAGCAACTGAAAATGTGTTATGCATGTACAAAAAGAGTCAACCCGTCTGAAGCAGTCGTGCGAACAGCAAAATCTGCGGCGAGTCAGCTCTCAGCGTCTTGTTATATCATGCCCCTCCCCCCCCCCCCCCGCATCTGGTTAGCGTTGCGCGCGCGCTGAGTGGGGCTGCATCCGTTAAGGTACTGAGTAAATACTCTAATAACTTATCCAGTGGCACCGTCATTCATCACCCGGGCGCCCCTTCTTTCAGCCTGCTCATGCAGCAACAGCTGGCACACCTCAATGCGCCTCGCTTGTCCTCACCCCCTTGCGCTCGCAATTGCAATGGTTTCACTGACACCGCATTCGATCGCTAACTTCGTGGACATCGCAAAACCCATCAGCATTGCCTGACGGCCGAATCATTTTGGTCTTCCGTTTACTATCTCATTACATTTGGCTTCGCATGATGATAGGGCAGTCACACTCTGAGATGTGCCACAAGATTTGATGACGCTTTCACCCCGCGAAACCAACCCCCCGCCCATGCACGCGCATCCGTTCTGCATCGGGCAGTCCCCGTGAAGTCCAGATTACCAGCCCTTCGAGGACTCGCGATGCTTGCAGAGATAACAAGATCTTCCATGAGTATTCCAATGCATTCCTGAATTGTCCTGGACCCCCCAGGCCGCCACTGGGGATTTTGACGTGTTTGGCAGACTCTGCAGCTGCCTGTTTCCGGCACTAACTAATTAGCACAGGCTACAAACTCCGGCCATCTCTCGGCGTCGCGCGGCGACAGTTCCTCGCAGTGCCCACGCGTCGTGACTTTCGCTCCCGGCGCGCTTGACATGACATGGCAAGAGTCTAACTCCAACTCCCTCGCTGATATGCGCCCATGCCCTTGGCCCGC